AGATCAGCCTCCAAAATAATTTCTAAATGTGTACTAAAGTGATTCCCCTTTCTTAATAAAGACTCCATTTGTGAGCATCTATAATGCCAACTGAGGAAACCTGAGGCCTAATAAGCTTCTCCAAATAAAGCTTAAAAAAATAATGAAAAATGTCTATATGAGATATCAAAGTGGGGTACAGGAGAGGACTACTTAGTCTTATGGTCAGGCATACTGGTCAAATCATCAAAGTTTCTACAAAAATTGACTTTAAAATCTGCAAAGTACTGCTTCTGAATCACTTTCTGATTATTAAAAAAACGTAGCTAGAGGAAAATTATTCACTATCTCATGCATTAAAATAGTATTTAAGGGCAGAATATCAATTTCAATGACAAAAGACCAGAAAAATCACAAGAAGGATATAGGAAATAGTGATGAAATGTCCACTTCTGCAAAATAGTCAATCAAATCATTTTTATGCTTAATAATACTAAAGTAGATGATATACAGAATGGCAATGCTTAAAAGACTCTTCTCCTAGATGCCCTGTCTGTGGTTTCAGAAGTGTTACCCACAAAAAGCAGTATGATGTTTAACAAACGTTTCAAATCCTGATTCTGGAGCCAAAATTGTGTGAGTTCAAACCCAGTTCCACTGTGGACAGATTACTCATCCTCTCTCCTGCCACTATTCTTATCTATAAATTGCTAAGTAATGGATTATTATATGAAACATGCCTATATCGGTGCATGGAACATGCTAAATTCTCAAAGTGTCAGTAATTATTTTTATTAGCAGGGCATTGGTGAGCCTTGAAATACCCTGACAGAGACTACTGAAATGAATGGAATCAGGAGATACTTAAATGACCATCTCTCAAGGGCCAGTGAACATGCACATTCCTCAGAATGAAGTCCAATGACAAGCCACACTACCTGCATCTGTGTCCTCTATAAAAGGAACCTCAATACGTAAATTTTAAATACTCTTAAAAACAGAAATCTAGAATACCATGTAATTTAATTAGCAAATGGAATCATTTAATAATCAATTAACAATTAAAGTTGCCAGATAAAATATAGGATATTAGTTAAGTTTGAATTTCAGAAAAATAACAAGGTTTTAGGATATAAGTCCCACGTGATATTTGGAACACATATATGCACCAAAAAACAATCCACTGCTTATTCAAGTTTAACTGAGTATCCTATATTTTTACTTGCTCTATCTGACAACTCTATTAGCAATATGCTAAATTGGCTAATACTCATAAAGCAAGAAGAAAAGAAATAGAATCATTTTGATTACATAAGGTACCTTAAGAGACAGTATGATAAATGGAAAGAAAACATGCATTTTAGCATCAGACAAATGTGAAATTAAAATTCACCAGCCTCTGGGAATTTATAATTGATTGAACAATTCAATTTGGAACAAATCACTGCCCTCACCTGTTGAAAGCGGCTTAGTTTAGCCCTTTCCATTCCCCTAATGTGGGACAGGCAAGGACGCTACCTCTCAGTTCTTCCAGTAGGTGCTGTGTGAGCTCCAGAAACTCAGATATCCCAACATGGCTGTCAAAACCAAGAATCCACTTATCCTGCTGAAGCTGAACCAAAGAGAGAGCTCCCCAACCTAGGGACACACAGACCTCTCTCCCACTGACCTCCTTCCACGAACTGGCTTCCTTTGGCAACCAGCCTTCGCTCTCCCCATTTTCCATTCACAGAGACACGAGCCAAGGACAGCACTCTATCTGCAGAGTGATTGTACTTGACGGTATTTGAACAGAAATGTTTGAAAATAACATCACACTGTGATTTCTTCACATTTTTACTTTTTAAGACTTTTTTAGAGGAAGGATATATACACATTCATTTAAAAAGATCATATTATACTCTATGCAAAAATCTGTTTTCTTAGCATTAAAAATATGCTGAAAAAGACCAAGCCATTTACTGAATCAATAAGAAAATTCATCAAAACGCATAAAAGAAAATAATTTTCCAGTATAACTTGTGGGACTAGGTCTTCCTCCTACTGAGGAGTCGACCACATGAGGGATTAACTTCTAATGTTCATTTTATAAACTGCTGAACTAACAATATGTTGTTCAACCTTCCATTAAGTATACCTTATCTTCCTTCTACAGACTGTGATTTCTTTGAAGGAAAATTAACTAAATATTTCAGCAGTTTAACTAGTGGGAAGCAAAGAATTAAGATTGTAGATACAAAGATGCTATAATTGTATTTTAATCAGCTTATTAAGTACAACATGAACATGTATCAATCAACTAACATTTAATTTCATGGTCTATGATTCAAAACTTTTCAAAAGCATTACAGTACAAAGTTATCGGCATTTACCTAACAATTCTTTTCCAATTTTCTTTTAACTCATGTAAATCATTTAAATGTCATATGACAACTGTTACATGTCCTTATAGACTGAGAAAAAGACATAATTAAGAATTTTATTAAGACACAAATACTTGTTTGAAATTTGGCTTTTCTTGCAGGATATTACCTACTCAGCCTATAAAGAAAAAAATACCTTATATCTATATCTGTGTAACACAACATAAATTTTTTAATTTAGGGGACTAAAAACAGAAATCATTCAAAAAGTTTATTTCAAATATTTCTATCCCTAAGGACATAAATCCAATAATGAAACAAAACAGAGATAAAAGGCTTGTTTTAAATTGTTGCAGAAATGCAAACATATCTCTATAAATGTCATTCAGAAAGTAAACTGCTTAATTGCACATTCATTTAAGAGTATTCTACAAAGATTTCCCTTAGTCAAATTTTGACTTAGAATGTTATGTACATATATTTTTCTCCTATTAAAACTGATTTTTTATGATCTGAATGATTTCATTTTTCACAGAATAATTCATCAATATTCTATTTTTGTTAAGGAAGAGTGAAAATTATTTTAAAAAGTCAGCAGGTTCTTTTCTCTAGTATTTTGCTTGATGGCAAAAATTGTTTTAGTTTTGAAAAAAATCTGCTTTTGACCATTATTTTTAACTCAAGTGGAAAAGGGCCTGAAGGTAAGGGTCATTAACATCATTTACTACTGACAAAAAGGTTCAACTATGGTTGCTAAGATACCAAGACAGATTCATTTATTGCAGTCAGACACAGTTATTAGGGCTATTCTCTCACAAAACAACATACTAACTACAGCAAGAACTATAATGCAAACAGACAGAAAAATGTAAAAGACAAGGGCAATCCCTGCCCTCAAAGAGCTTACATTGTTGCTAGTATATAAAGTACGAAATGAATCTTAAATAAGATTTTTTTCAAGAAATAGAAACGACATTCAGAGAGGAAGAAAGTCAAAGAAAAACAAAGGCCAAGGAACAAAATCAAGTGTTTCTCCCTAGTATGGAAAGTTAAAAAGCCTTAGTTCACTGACTTACAGAACTGAATCATAATTCAGTACTATATTCCAGGCATTCCACACACATCAGTTAATAAGACATAGGTGCAGCCCTTATTCAACCTACAGGTCAGTGAGCAGACCAAGCAGAGTGCTATAAAACCCTATGTTTCTGTGTATGGGTAAGTGGGGGCGGGGACAGTACGCAAATATGGTAGAGAGGAAAGAAGACAGGCAAAAGAAGACCTTACATAATCAGCAATTACTACTCTGTGCCAACTATGGGCTAGGCAATGAGAATAGAGGTTGACACACAGTCTCTTACACTCATATTTACTCTAGTGAAAGATCCAAGAAAACCAAAGGAGATTAAGACCAGTGCCCTGTGCTACCTGTGTAACCTTGCTGCCTGTGTAAGTTCATCACACCTTTACCATGAATAGTGATCCAACCTTCAAAGGTTATCGTAAGCACTGGAAGTTTATAAAACATTCAATACCCTGCCTGGTAAACCACAGATTTTACAAGTGCCTACATTACACAGTAACAGTGAAGTTGATGGAAATGAAGGATGGCAGAAAAGGGAAAGGTTAATAAAGGTGGTTGTTTTTTTTAAATCAAAATAGAAGAAATGAGCTAAAATCAAGTGCCCAGATCTAAAGTTACGTGTTATATTTTCGTAGAAATACAAAGGAATACATACCAACAAGCTACTGGGAAAGAATGTAAGACAAATGCCCACTGGGAGTGAAGAAAAAAAATTTCAAAGTACCCAGGGGAATTGCTGTGCTCTGATAATAATAACAAAATTGAGATACTGAGAAAAGGAACAAATAGAAGCATAATGAAGTCCTTCAAAAGAAGTCTTCAGAAACACATTCTCCAAAAACACTGCAATTCAATTTTTAGGCATTCATGCTATGCTGTGTCCTCACAGCACAAATATTCACATTAAATCACCTGGCTCACTATAACTATAGCAATTCCATCTTACCTCGAAGGAAAAAAATTCTCTGGCCCCAATGAATAAAAGCCATCATATGATATAATAACGGAATAGTAGCTACTGTTATACCACGCATGAATCCTTTACGTTTCACCCTTGAAAGGAGTTACTACTATCTTGAATCTACCAGAGAGAAAAATCTCAGAGGGATTAAATACTGTAACTTGCCTAAAGTCTTCTAACACAGAGACAGGGCTGGTTCATACCTATGCTGGCTACATCTGACAATGAACACAAAAGCTCCTAACCACTTCTCCATGTCAAGATCCAAACTTCCCCATGAGCCCCTGCCTTTCTGAAGTACAGTTTATAGATAGGAAATAACTCTCCCATGCTACATTTTACTCCAAGCAACTAAAACAAACTGGCAGTATCCCTAAATGTGTAGAACTTCCACCTACAAAAGCTAAGTCCTTCTCATGCGTACCTGTTTCATAGCGTGCAAGTACTATCTTTGAATGGCACACAATTTGATAAAATGACAACACTGAAATGCAGTGGCATGAAAGGAATGTATCACTATTAACACCTGTGAGCAGTGGACTCTACTGAACTCTCACTAAAGAACTCTGGGTCTACAGATTGATGACGTCCAGCTTCTGCGGTGTCATTTTACCTGGGTCATTATGGGAATGAGGGACGACAAACACTTGCAGGGGCTCGGAGTCCCATTCGTTAGCTTCGTACTTAATGTCAAACCCTTGCTTCCATACTCCGCCATCTGGATTATCAAAAGGGATTAGATTGTAAACATCCAACATCTAAAAGAAGACAAAATTACAGTTTCACCATTATTAATTCACATTTTGAGTTGATAAATGTTTGCTCAAAAATCACTCACTGCTGCATTCTGCATATATATTTTATAAAACAAAGTGATTTCTGTAGAATTGAAATGTTTGAGGCACAAAACATCAACTACTATTCAGTGACTTGAAAGGCTAGCTGTGCTCTGTAACCATAATAATCCCCTCTCCTGAAAAATAATCCCCTCTCCTGTTTTTATCAAATATAATTTCATTCAATTCCTTCTCTTACATTACTTCCAATACAAATTAATAGAAACTTATAGCAACTGAACAGAAGTGTTTCATGAAATTTGCTTATTACAAAGTATTTTGGCATTTTTAAATATAGTACTGAAAACAATCTTTTTACTTTATTGAGGGGATCTTTACTTTATAAACAATTTTGTATTTTTAAAATCTATACCTGAAAGAAAATGTATCTGTATCTTCTTACTAGCATAAGTCATGTTTAGCTTTTTTGTTCTAAAAATAAAATTATAACAAGGTCAACTTGGCACAATCATTTCAAAACAGGAAATTTTTAAAACTGAAATTTAGATTTTAAGGATCCAAACTTTTTTTTTAGAGCTGGGCTTGGTGGCACATACCAATAGTCCCAGCTACTCACTGAGGCAGGAGAACCTGAGCTCAGGAATTATAAGCCAGTCTGGCAACATTGTTAGCCCCTATCTCAAAAAACAAGTAAACAAATAAGCTAATGTTCTCTAGTTTTTCAATGCACTATTTCTTCTGGCTAGTAATCTATTTGGACACAAGGAAAAAACAATGCCCTAAAAGAAATACGTGAAACTTTACATTTGTTCTTCATACTCTCCATAATACTAAATATGACAAACAATCATTTATAAAATGTAAAGTATGTGAGAACTAGGCTACAAAAATTACAGGCTGCAGATATCACATTTTAGTATATAACACATTTAGTATGTATCACATTTAAGTGTATAAATGTGATACAAAACATTAAAAATACAAGAAAAAAATATGAGAAAAGGTAAAAATGGAAACAAAGTGTTTGTAAATAGGGGAGGATGGAGGGGGTGTAGAGAGGGCAAGAGTATGGGGAGAAAATGAGAACCAAGACCTGTCGTGTAAAGTACAAGATCCCTGATGAATGTTACATTTAAGTGTATAAATGTGATACAAAACATTAAAAATACAAGAAAAAAATATGAGAAAAGGTAAAAATGGAAACAAAGTGTTTGTAAATAGGGGAGGATGGAGGGGGTGTAGAGAGGGCAAGAGTATGGGGAGAAAATGAGAACCAAGACCTGTCGTGTAAAGTACAAGATCCCAATGATGAATGTAATTGTACTGTATACTTAAAAAGTACCAATAAATTCAATGAGATTAAAAAAAAATTGAACAAGAGCAAATACAAAGTTCTTTAAGGCAGTAATCTATCTCCTGATATCTAATTCATGCCTTTAATAAATAAAATAGAACTCTCTAAGGATAAGCCAAAAATCTTTAGGAACCAGGAGTGTAGGAGGACACATTAGCAGTCTCTGCTATTCTTCCTGGTTCTTTCTTCGGCCCTCAACTGCCTCTGCTCTCCCAGTCCCCTCCTGCCTCTGCCTATGCACAGGATGCTCAGCAACTCCCTTCTATCCAGTCCACATTAAGACAAAAACAAAAATGTTCTGCTGTTCCCCTAGGATGGTTGACAAAGCTACCTGAGTACTCAATAAAACCCAAAATAAGACCACGCCTTACAGAAACAGGCACAGGGTTGGGGTTCTGTCTGAATCTGCCCACACACTAGCTAATGACACACAGGTACAAGGCCTGGTTCCACCCTCAGCAAGGCCTGTGAGCCACGCCTCAAGATCAGATCACAGTGCCTCCAGGAGTTAGTGGAAATGCCCACTCAAAAACCAGGCTTCAGGCCCACTAATTTTGTCCATTTTCAAAATCTTTACCCCTTAGGGTCCTCCCTAAAGTTGTAGTTTCTGGTCTAAGGCAAAGGTTAAACAGATTCACTAAAAGCAGGGCAGGACAACAGGACCTTTCTGACCCTGGTTTTCAACTCCATTACCCTGTATAACACTCTTTTCCGAATGAAATATGATGCAAGCCAAATGGGTAATTTTTAATTTTCTAGCAAGATGAAACAAATGAAATTAATTTCAAAGATATATTTTCTTTAATCAAATAAACAGTAAGAGCAGTACCTTTCTCGTAGTCTTCAAAAGAAGAAAACCTGTGGCATAATTAAACCTTTAAAGGTTTTCAACTGTTATAGAAAATAAAAATGGAAATACATACAAAACACACATATCAATGAGAAAATCGAAACAGAATTACAAAATGCTATCACAAAAAAAAAAGAATCATGTGACTAATGAAATCACTTTGCAAAAAGAGAAGCTGGAATCCAGAGTCTGAACAACTTACCAAAAAGAACAGCAGACACCAGATCAAATCTAAAACCAAAACAGAAAAGCCTATGGTTATTACATGTGCCTACATTACCTGCACATCAGGATGCTGGTTTCCCCCTTGGGAAACAAAGAGGCAGTCCTTAGGGTCGACCTGAAGGGACGCCTGTGATGGCAGAAAACGCGAGCCAGCACCTTGGCTGAAATTGCCTGGTGAACTTTTCGAACCGTCCTCCACAGATTCACTCAAATTGATGACCGAATCCCTAATATTTGAGATGATCTCATTATTCTCAGCCAGCAAACGTTCCAAATGGTCTATTTTTTCTTGCAACATTGAAAGTTGGCCCTATAATAAAAAAGAAAAGGGCAGCTATATGAAACACTAATACAGCTCTGCTGAAGCACATATTTTTTTCTAAGGCATGTGGCTGCCCTCTTGGGCAGCCGCTCAACCTTCACTTTCTACTTTAAGTGAGATCACACAAAGCATTAATACTGGTAGGACTGAAATACCAACGTACAGCAGAAAATCTTCTCCATAGCTTCAATCTTTGTTTAATCATATTTTAAATGTATAACAGGACAAAAAATGTTCTGGGATTGATCGATTTATCTATTTGTTGTTTTTTTGAGACAGGGTCTCTCTATGTAGTTGAGACTGACCTGGAATTCACTATGTAAACCAGGCTGGTCTCGTACTCACAGCAATCCTCTGGGATTTAGTTTTATGTTCCCCCGTAAACTCGGTTCTGAAAGATCTTTGGGTCTCTGGAATCACTAGGTACAACATGGTATTATATTCAAGTATGAAATATTAAATGTGAGTTTAACTGATTTGAGTTATTCACAAGAGTCAAAAAGTATGAACGTGACAAAAATCATTACATCTCAATGTATTAACATTAGTGGACAATCATAAATAAGTATCATCTACGGAAACATCAGTTCATCAACTCTTAATTAGACATAAACATGAGTACATCCAAGTAATGTATGTCATTTGACTGCTTTTACAATGCAGAGTGACTTTCATGTTTTTAATTGACCCTTACATGAAGAACCTCGCTGTTTCTGTATAACAAACTTGTGTTATACAGACTAATACTTCAGCTTATGAGAACAAGGACAATCTTCCCCCATTCACCCTGATATCACAGGTTCCAAGTATACAGTAGGTGCTCATCTACTTGTCAAATGGCCCTCGAGCTTCTGGAGTATAACAGGAATTCTTTAGTGAACATCCAGTGTACTAGGCATAATGCTACACTAGGAAGAGAGCTATGCCTCTGCTATGTCCCTGTCTCTGAATACATAAGGGTACATTATAGGCAAGAGTCTGCCTCTACACCACAAAAAGTTCATATTAAGGTTTTAAAAACTATCTGCATGGCAAACAAGTAGGTCCAAATATCTACTCCAGGAAATAAAAAGAAGGCAAAAAGAAAGAAAAGAGAAGAGAAAATACCTAAATGTTAAAAAATAGAGGAGAAATGGTCAAAAAATATCATGAAATAGTCTTTAGTCACTCAAATCTTAGACATATAAATCTTAAAAACATAAGGAAAGGTATCTTCAGGAGATAAATTGGAGAGAAGATTTTAAAATATATGAGAAAAATCACATTTGGCATATCTTAAAAAGTACACACAAGGGCTGGGGATTTAGCTCAGCGGTTTGGTGGCCTGCCTTGCAAGCGCAAAGACCCGAGTTCAATCCCCAGTACCAAAAAAAAGAAAAAAAAAAGTACACATATATCAGGATGGTTAAAAACTAGCTAAGTATGTTTATACTCTTTTTTAAGCCTATTTTGAGCATCCATTGATTTTGTAATGGTGAGGAGTATAAGAATCATACTCACAGATTACTGGTCAGTTCAACAAGGCAAAGGATAGAAGTTATTAGACTGAGGTCTTCCAAGATAAGGCCAGTTATCTAAGCAAACTATGCCAGTACAAAGAGACCAGTACAGAAATTTGAGAATAAGAAAAAATTAGCCAAAAGTAGAAGCCAATTATTTTGTTGGGGGACAGGGGAAGGCACAATACTTGGGATGACTGTCAAAGGCCTAGGGCTAGAGAGGCCAGGAGCACAAGGAAGCCATGGGCATCCAGACCTCCCTACTTCGAGGCATGTGACAGAGTTAGCTGCCAGTGTGTCAGAGCTAGTTCTGGAGTGGGCTGTCACCACAAGAACTCTGAAGTCTGCTCATCAGCACATACAGGAAGTGCAAGGTTTTCAGCACAGATCTCTTCCTGCAAGATAAGCCCTGTTTTCTCTAGTGACAAACAAGAGACTACACAGCAGCTGATATCTGAAAATGGCACAGCAAAGGAAACTTGAGGGGAGTTCAGCAATCAGAGAAGCTATTGAACTATGAGGATTTCAGATCGGTTAAACAGCATCCTAGTACAAACCCTCCTCTGTAATAAGCACACATCAAGCTTAGAAGAGTCGTTCTCCAGGGTATAAGCCAAGTTCAACTCAAAGGTGCAGAAGGATCTGAGATCCAGGTACATTGTTAACTAATCTACATGCATATGTCTTTCTAAACAGACACACTCACAAAGGCTGACTGGAACAAGGGAAGGACAAACCATCATTGGTTATCCCAACATCATACAATGTGGCTTTCTGAAATCATTTGACAGATTCTGTTGAATTTTTCCAGTGAAGAAGACACAAATCCCCTTCAGTGCTTCCATTTCTACTACAGCAGGAAACAGAAAATCATTTATTCCAAACAAAATTAGAACCCATTAATCTGTCCTTCCTTTATTAAAGTTACACCTCTAGAAAATAAAACTTTAGTCTAAAATGCTATCATCTCAGAGCTTCTAAAGATGCCACATTTTATCTCATATTTACAGAATTATATAATACAATTTTAATACATGACTGTCAGATTTTAAACATTTCTCCAGACCTTCTATACTGTGAAAAAAAAAGATCATTTTGGAACCAAAACTGCCTATAACTTAACAATTACACACTAGGGAAAAATGGGCTCTTTCCTAGGAATATTTTTACTGTAGCCTTAGTCCCATAACCTATAGTATTATTCAAAATAAACTACAGGATGTTTCGTGAAGAGGGGTCCTAAAGACATGACAGATAGACTTTCAATCTTGCTGTACCTCTACGGACACAATGAATGATGGGACCTGAAACTGTGTACTAAGTTAAGTGCATGGAGAATTGTGGCCTAGAGAAATGTCCCATAATGCTTTAAAGAAAGTCATTTTTTTAAACCACTTTAGGTAGTGGAATAAAGTTTCCCTCTAAACAGCCAAAGTTCTTGACATACATCTCATAAGCAAATTCTGTGCCTATGACAAAGACAGGTGTGACCTTAAAACAATGCACTTGAAGGACCCAGGATTTAGCTCAGGAGCACTGCGCCTGCCTTGGCAGCACAAGGTCCTGAGTTCAATCTCCTTCAGTACCCCCCAAAAAAAAAGAAAAAAAAAAACAAAACGATGCACTTAAAGTCTGCATTAAAGAAACAAAAATCATAGGTAATGTTTGAATTATGCTGATAAGTCAAAGAATACTGATAGTAATACTGAAGAAGACAATTTTCTGTAAGGCAAGGAAATCACTTGTGAGAAAACCATTTTATTCTTTGATTTGCTAATCAGTTCTATGGGGAGGAGGCCATGAGCTGCTCTGGCTGAGTGGGGAGGAAGGTCATGTTTGATTTTTTCTGCTAATGGAGAAAAAAAGCTGAACAAAAAAATCATGGATATAAAAGACGCCTGAGAGAACAAATTTAGAGTCGACTCTGAGGAAGAATAGGATCAGTATCCACTCAGTCCTATGAACAAAATCAATGACTGTGTATCTACAGCTAAATCTAAACTTATTACCTAATTATTTGCCCAAGGGAGGACACCAGCTGCTGGGGACTGGAGCTGCTGTAATCACTCACGCGCAGCTGAATTTGCACATCTCCTTCCTGCTGGTTACAACTGAAAAATGTCTTTTCCCCGCTCCCCGCCCCAAGGCCCATGCTGAATTCCAGTCTCATCTCTGAACTGCTCAGAGGCTTTCTTCTTTTCATTAAATCCTTTCTATGCTGCTCCATCAATCGCCCCTTCCAAAAACAATTCATGCTTAGCAGGATAGCATGTTCTATTATACCAAACTATCTTTCTCATAGGTCAAAAACAGTCAAACATCACCAGCATCAGTCTATGAATCACATATTATACTGCATATTATACTCTTAACTTTTTAAAAGTCAGTCAAATTCCTATGCACCCGTGAACTCCACGAGATGGTAGATTCGGGAAACTTTACTGAACTAAAGGATCCACACAGCTGCTAAAGCACTGAATGTTCTCAAGGCTTTAGCAGGCACTGAGGTCCCTTTTCCCTCCGCTGAAAGGGAAAGCCAGGTGGCCTGGCACTGATTAGCCTCGGTGGTTGTCCCCAGGTGTATAGGTGAAGTCATCAGCAGAGCGGTATGGTCTCACACTCAGTGGACTGTGTGGGGAAGATCTGTCCACGATGTGGGCGTGCACCACCCAAACAACAAGAGGCTTGGGTGGAACAGAAAGGCAGATAAAGGGCAAAGTCCTGCCCTCTCTCCCAGACCCAGCATACCCTTTTCTCCGGCCTCTGGCTGGATGTTAGAACTCCGTCCAGGTTCTTTGGTCTTTGGACTATAAAGCTCACACCAGCAGCTCCCAAGACTCTCAGGCCTTTGGCTTCAGCACGAATGCTACACCATCAGCTTCCTGGAGCACAGCCTGCACCGAACTACCAGTTTCTCTGGTTCTCCAGCCTCCGCATGACCCCTTGTGGGCCTTTCCAGCCTCCATAACCAAGTAAGCCAATTCTCCCAATAAAGCCTGTCTCTGTCCGTCTCTGTTTCTCTCCAGAGTTCTGCAGATTCATTATATATCCTGACAAGAATATTCTCTTCCACAGCCCCGCTCTGCATGAGAATACCGGGATCAAGAGTCATTATCCCGCTTCACAGGCTCCCTCCCATGCCCACTCCAATCAGCACCGCACACCACTCTACCAAAACTGCCCTTGTGAAGTCCCCAGAGCCTCCCACACTTCACACCTGATGACAAGCCCTGTGCCCGGACCTTACTCATCACCCAAGGGGAGTGTGGAGCAGTGAAGCCGGCCTTCCTCCTGGAAACACTTCCTCCACTCATCCCCAGTACACAGGCCCTTGTTTTTTTCCCTGCCAGCTATTTATCAGTCTCCTTTGCTGGCTTTCTCTCTCCAACCTCCAAATGTCACAAACCCTCAAGGTTAGCTCCTAGCTCTATTACTTCTGTTCAATGTCTAATATGATCTCATCTGCTCCATGATTTAAATTCCACGTTT